ATTTCGCAAAATATTCTGTATTAACTTTCAAAATGCTCACTTACTCTGACTGCTGGGTAGCAACATCTTTGAGATGCTTCTGAAATTTTTCCTTTATTTCGTATAATTTTTGCATCCACATTTTCATGTCGTTCTCTATTTGTAATTTCAACTCGGCTTGCAGTTCCACATAATTGTTATAATTGTTTAGTGTTAGCTGGTTAATTCTCTGAAAATGAAAGGTCGTATGTTTAGAACAGGAATTTATCTAGAAGGCAGCGGTATTCAGGCAAGCTTTTCACTAGGTATGTATGCTACAGTTTTCCAGGCCGAGGTTTTTGCTATCTTGATGGTAGCAAGCAAGGAGGATGTAAGGAATTGTGCAGAGGAGATTTTTATCTGCTCCGACAGTTAGGCCGTGCTCAGAACGGTTAGCTCCCCGAGGACTAGGTCTGCCCTTGTCCAGGAATGTGGAGACGCTCTAGAGCCATTGGCCAGACGAAGAGAGGTAGAGTTGGTTTGGGTCCCAGGCCATATGGGTTTCCCTGGTAACGAGAGGGCTGATCAAGCTCGTCTCGGGTCCAGGGGACCTGGACAGGGACCTGAACCAATCTTAGGTATCACACGAGGCGGCATCAATAGGACCCTCAATAAATGGACCTATCAAACTTTAGGTCAGAATTGGAGGAGAAATAGAGGATAGCAAATCCAAGACGAGATGGCTGCTGAGCCTTAGTCGAAGAGCCCTAAACCAAATGGTGGGATTCTGACAGGTCACAGCAGACTTAGGAGGTATTTAAGTTTAATAGGAATTGAGGAGGACCCTCTATGCCCGAAATGTGGAGATCCCTGTCCACCTTCTGGGACATTGTGCAGCCTTTGGGAGAATAAGACATAAAGTCTTTGGTGCTGAAGAGCTACAAGGGGTTGAGGTGAGAGACCTTCCAGTACCTAATAGTTAAATTTAAATCATATTAGAAAAAGAGTCAACTCTAAATTGATTTTATATTCTCAGAATAGAGTCAAAATTCGCTCAATTGATAGTTTTTTGATTTGAGTAAAACTTACTCATTTCTGATGCAATAGTTTCACTTAGTTGTACTCATACTAATAGAGTGAAAATTTCACTCACTCAATTGATACATTATTGAGTGAAATTTGAGTGAAATTCTTTCCAGTGGAGTAAAGTGCATTTTCAATATAAATTATATTCAATTCTGCTATAGTTGTATAAATTTCTAATTACATATAGATATATTTTTTGGCCTGTAGCAAATGCAGGAAACATTATTCGTCTGAAACCTGGTGCTTCATTGAAAAAATAAAATAAAAGCATTTACTTGATTTTATGTATTGTTTTCTCACCAAAATTTCCTTTTCGAAAAATTCCTCCACTTCAAAGGGTAGCTTGTAGGAAATATTCGTCAATTTTTCATACGTTTCCCTTAACATCGACTTTAATTCGTCACCTCGCTTTTTTTCTATTCCAACCAAGGCGTCATAAAACTCATCCACATTGGCTTTTCTAGTCTCATTATAGTCTAAGACCTTTTTGCTAATATTCTGGAAATAATTCGGTTCAACTGCGTCAAACTCCTAAAAATAAAATTTATTCAGTTCCGATTTTCTTAACCGGTTATTTATTTTTTCCCTGACGTGATCTCTCATATGTTGGATGAGATATATGAAGTAATCGGTGTCGTCTCTTATCCGCTTCAGTTTTGATTTTGCTTTGTTAGATCTGTCTAAAATTTCTTTTTCTATTTCGATGTTTATTTCTTTCTTTCTTAAACATATTTCTTCTAGCACTGCACTGTGGGCTTTTTTCCTTTTCTCGTTCAATTTTTCGATAACATGGGAGGGGTGTGACTCAGACACTACAAATTGGATCTTTGAATAGACGTGTCTTCTTCATATTTAAATTCTTACCAAAATTAGAAGGTAGAGACCTTATGTCGAAGTGATCTTCCATTTTGGAGAAGATTTGAATATAATGATTTGCGAATCTGTCAAATATGTCAAGGTTAAATACGAACAGAATCTAGATATCTTGAAAAACGGATAAATAGAAATTTTCAGAGGAAAACAGATTTTAGAAACGTTAACAATTTTTTGAAGTGCGCCATATACAGGGTGTTACAAATTAGTGGTCAAGCAGTTAACCATATATTCTTTGGACTAAAATAGTGCGACTTTTCTTATGAAACTTTTCATTTTGGAACCCCATTTTCAAAATACACCCTGTATTAATTATATATAAATTAAAATTTAAAAAATTAATTTTTATCGATGACTCCGGTGATTGTAGAGAATTTAGCATATAGTATTTTGATCGTATATCGGCACACTTTTTGTATAATTTTGGTTTAAAATATCAAAGCGTGAACGGAGGGGAGGGGGGTTGCAGTACCCATGAACCACCTAATTTTTTTTTGAGTACGCCTATGCTTTCCGAATATTTTTTTTTTAGATAGAGCGGCGTTTTATTCTATTTTTTCCACTCTCGTAAGATTTTTATTTGGGGCCTCGTTTACTAGATATTGTAACTTTTTTGGATACGCGATATCAATTTAGTCGACGTTTGACTTTAATTTTTGGGATTTTATAAAAAATTTATATGGTACCAATACTAAACAACAGTTAAAGAAACGAATTGTACGAGGTAAAGAGCACATTAGGCTGAAACCACATATTTTGATTTGGGGCTTACTGATGATGATCATTTCCATGTTATTCAGTAAACTGAAATAAATAACGACTCAAATCTTTAATACAACAAAAATAATGTTTAACTTCGACTAAATCGATATCGCGTATCCAAAAAAGTTACAGTATCTCGTAAACGAGGACCCAAATCAAAATCTTGCAAGTTTGAAAAAATAAAATGGAATTCTGCTTTATCTAAAAAAAAATATTTGGAAAGCATAGGCACACTCAAAAAAATAATGTTCCTTGTGTGGTCCAGAGATATGCAATTAAGTTGATTTTATTTTTTTCTCCAAAAATTAATCAAGATACGAAAAACATTCAACAGATAAAAAAGTTGTATTTTTAGTTGCTTAACCCAAAAAAATATAAAAATTACAAAAAGTCAGTGGTGTACATTTTTTTTGTCAAAAATATTCGTTAAGGTACCGCTGGAGACGCCACTGGACTTAACAAATCTAATCAAGTTAAGGTTAAATTAGCTCCTTAACACTACGAGTAACACTGTCAAATTACAATAAAATTGGGTACAGGGTATTTAAGATATTTACGAAATAGTAATTTTTTTATAAAAGTTTAACACCCTGTATCTTGAAAACGAAGCAACTGCAAACCAATGTTTATACGAACTTTTTGTCTTAAAAATCACTCAAATAATCGTCTGTTGAATTTATTGTACATACTTAATTATCACCCTGTATATAATAATATTTGTTGTAAATATAAGACAAAGTGATTCAGCAAGAGACATCCTTATAAGACATTTGTCATTTCAGATAAATTTCATATTAGATTATATCGGAAGTACTCTTTTTACGTAGTAAACGTTGATTGAAATACTTTAGTCAACAGAGTAAATTTACTAAAAATTGTAGATTTTTTTATTATACAGGGTGTGCCATTTAACACTCCCGCTGCCAATATCTCCGAAATGAAGAAATTTATTTTATTTCCTGATACTGGGGTTGTTAGGTCCCTCGAATGGCTTCAAATTGCAGTTAGAATTGTTAGTTCAAATCTTTATGTATAGATGGCGTGGCGATGGCGTGACTAAAAAATGTTTTGATTCCTGGAACATTGAGATGCGGTTCACCTGAAAGGTCGTTAAATTTTGAGTAATTTTTGTAATATAAAGTTTTTTCCAATATTTACTTGTTTTCGAGATATGTCGACTTCAATATGCAAATGTAGGTATGACGTAACAGGAAAATCTATTATTTTATTTAAATCACATTAAGACAAAATATTCTTTTAAAATATTGGGTCCCTCGAATAGCTTCAAATTGCAATTATTAGTTCAAATCTTTCTATATAGATGGCGTGGCGATACTACACACTTTCAGTGTGATTTAGATAAAATAAATGATTTTCCAGTTATATCATATATTGCATATTGAAGTCAACCTGTCTCGAAAACAAGTACATATTGGGAAAAACTTTATACTACAAAAATTACTCAAAATTTAACAATCTTTCAGATGGGCCGCATTTCTACATTTCAGGAATCAAACAATTTTTTAGTATCGCCACGCCATCTATACAAGAAAGATCTGAACTAACAATTCTAACTGCAATTTAAAGCTATTCGAGAGACCTAACAAGCTACGCTAGTGTAGTGGTTGGTGAAATAAGGAGCACTCCAAGAGAAATTGTTACATATTTGAAGTTGTCATATCCCAAAGAATATACAGGCCACTGTTTCTCATGCTCTTCTGTGACACTTTTAGTCGATTATGAGGCAAGCATCACCTCCATAAAAATGGAGGTTGGGAATCTATTTCAGTGACGGAAACGTATGTTGTATATTATTGAGAATAAAATTAAAGTTTCAAATAGCATCGATAGTTGATAAATCCATCGAAAGATTATTCTTTCATCACAACTAGAGCTTTAAAACAAAATCTGGTTTTAAGAGATTAGCTTGTCTTCACGTTTGGAATACACAGCTATTTGTAATTTTCTAACAAAGAAAATTATGGTAATTTATTAGTTTGAATTTTAAAATTTGTTCAATTTGATATAAATAAATTTGCAACTGTTATATTATTGAAACAATGTATGAACATATTTTGTTCTAGTTAACTAGTGTTCTTTTGACACCTAGGAAACAATTAAAGTGTCAACATTTGTTAACAAATTTTCGAAAAATTGTAGTAAATTTGTATTTTCCAACTCAAATGAAATCAAAGTATTTTTAGGTTAATGTTCAGATAAAATAGATATATACTATTTTTGTAGATATATTTTTTATTATTAATCTAGTAGTAGATGAAATTACAGATTTTTGTAAATAAATAGGCAAGAGAATAAAAACATTCTTTAATAAATAAATAAATAGAAAACACAACAAAAATAAATAAAACAATCAAAGGATGAAAATCAGTGGATTATTGCTAGTTGTTTTAATTTCTGTGTTCATAATAGTGATTTTTGCTTAACGTATGCATAGTCTTATACTTTTTCATTTATACTATTTCAGAAGAGGAAACTAGTAATATTAAATCCTAAGGATACAGTCGAAACGTGGCTTTACTTCCATTACTAAAAAAAATTACTAAAATGTAAAAACGCCTGAATTTTATGCTTATTGATCTCTATGTGAGCAGTTAAACAGCAAATTTTACGAATTATTTCAGTTCTTTTTCCTATTTGACATTAACCTGTCTCCAAATTCCGCATTCTCCTCTTCCGAAGAAACGTTTTCTTCTTCCTGCGAATAATCTTCATATTCCCCCCGATCTTTGTCATTCTCCGCGTAGTTTTCGTTGTTCTCTTCATTAGAATCGTCCTCCTCAAACTCACCATTATCCTTAGAACCACCCGACTTCTGATCTAAAGTTATCTGCATCAAATTGCTGTTGACCTTCCCTGCGGCTTGCAGATGGGCCAGGCGTTCAGCAGCCTCTTTATTCGGCAAGGAGGAGAAATAACTAGAACTCATTAAATCTTCTTTAATTTTTTCCTCTGGTTCTGTTTTCTCCACTGCGCTGGGTTTGGCGTCTGGTTCGACGTCATTCTCTTCAACGTCAGACCTGGTGTTGAAATAGTTCTGGATTAACTGAGCTTGCGCTAAAGGGTCAATGGAGTTTCTAGATTCCATAGAAGGTACGTTCGAGTCTAAACTATAAGCTGCTGTTACCAAGGAAGAGAGCTGTTCCTTACTCAAACCTTTCTGGCTCTTTTGATGCGCCTGCTCGTCGTAGTTGAAGGAGTGGAATTCGGGCTCGAAACCTACTTTATCCAAAGCCACATTAGTGTTGTCTGCAGGTCTTAAGTGTTGTGCGAAGTTCTTCTGATCAGCTGGTCTCAAGTGTTGTTCGAAATTTTGCTGGTCCGCTTGGAAGAGTTGTTGCGAGAGCAGTGCTTGATAGTTCGGCACTTGTTGCGCCTTCTGAGGTTGGTAGAAGCTTTGCTGGGTCTCCTCGATCTTTACCTGAGGTTGTTGGGGATATGCTGCTCCTATTAGCTTGTACAGCTCAGGATTCGGTTGGCTGCCGATGTATATGTCGCCTTGAGGGTTTTTTTGAGCGGGTAAGTTTAAAGTTTGAGGCAAATTGACGGGGTCTGTTGTGTAGTAGACTTGCTGTGGGTGGATTTCTACTTGTTTCTGAAGACTGTGAAGGAATTGCTCTTGTTGAAGTTGCTTCTGTTTTTGCTGTTGCAGCGACTGTTGTATTTGTTGCTGCAGCGATTGTTGCATCTGCTGCTGTTGTTGCTGTTGTAATGACTGTTGTATTTGCTGTTGCTGCTGCAGCTGTTGTTGGTAAAGGTGTTGGGGAAGTATCTGCTGTTGCTGAATTAACTGGTGCTGACCTCTGTACAATTTACTTTTCGTGGGAGGTTCAGGCTGTTCAGTCACTTGGTACTGATGCTTCTGTTCCAAGTGCTGGTATGTAGGTTTGTGTTGGTACTTAACCTCTTCGACTACTATAGGCTTGTCTCTCAAGCTTAAATTGGGCGCTGGGATCGTGTGTATAGGCCCTTTTTCTCCTACTTGTTTAATAGGGTTTGTATGGGTGGTAGGAATATTGTTAGTCTGTATGTGATAGTCTAGTTCTTGAGAAGTTATACTGGGTGCTGCCAAAAACGGTTTCTCTTGTGGTGGTATGTAAGGTTTCTCTTGCGGTAGCTTGATGTTATTGGCTTGCGTATTCTTCCAGAAATTCCTTACGGGGAGCGATACGGCACGTGGAGGAGCTTGTGGCACTCCTATGGGTACCTTATGGGAGGGCGGCATATGGACGGGAATGGGTCTGGACCTTATAGGACCTCTTGGTGGGTGTTGCGTCTGCTGGTACCATTTTTTCGCGAATTGCTTCGAGGGTGGTATTCGAGATGGGTGGGGTGGTCCACGCATTTTGTGTCTTGGGTACTCTGCTCTAAGTAGGGTGCATGACGACAGCAGTATAAGGAGGATGATCTGAAATACATATATATCAATAAGTACGATGTTTCTGAGCCTGAAGGCAAAAAAGAATGATATGTATACAAAGTGTATTTTTAATTGGCGTCAGTTTTTTAAGGTAATAGAATGTCTCATGTCTACGCCGCCACCGCACAACTCCCGAATTCTGATATACAGGGTGTATCATCATTAATATTAGCTGCTTTTGAGCGCTAATTCAATTTTTATTCATATGACAGTGGCGGAGATTTTAGGATTGCCCCTAATTTTTACAACTCTGGGAAAATTGGCATATTGAAAGCAATTTTAACCCGCCAATGTTATCTACAAAAAACAGGTATCCATCATCAAAAACTCTAACGCAAACCGTTTTCAAGATAAATTGAGTTTTATGACGGAAAACATGAAAGAAAGCGGCAACATGTCAAAAAACTGAACTTTTTTTGCCACTCTATACCTAAGAATTTTTTGCTTCTAGTACAGGCTATTAATTATTACCCACACTGTATTTATTTTTTTTATTTTTAAGTCTGTGATTATTTTTTTAAGTAGTGTGTTTAGTACATTTGACATTGATCTAGTTTAAGTGAAATAAAAAAAAAATACTCCCTAAAACAATTTATTCAAAGCATGGGATTTAATTAATATAAATTGTAACTGTCCAAAGCTTAAATGAATAAAATATCTCGAAGTATGGATCATTATTATATATTTTCGGAAAAAAGTTTCTATAAAAAGGTACATTTATTTTTTGTGTACTATCTATACTGAAAATATTGAAAGACAAATTAGAACCACCCTGTGTATACAGCCAAATTTTACAAAAACGAATAAAATACAGGGCGATTCCCAAACGGTAACCAAAAATGAAATCTACTGAGGGTTGTTTTCGCTGTACAGCAAAAATAAAACGCTCTCTCAAAGGTACAAATAAACTATTTTTATTGAAAAACTAAGCTTGTGAAAAAGACGTGTTGACGGGGCGAGTATTAGTTGGAGAGTCCCTGTGTGTGGAGTCGGTCGTAGGTATATCAGTAAGTATCTGGTCACCGGCGTCAGTCCGCCATAGACCCTTCCTGGAACGCTGGTGCGTCCGGCGGCGTCCTGCTGGCGGTCTTGACGTAATGCTTAAAAATGGGTCACTTGCGGCATGTGCACCTACACTACTATTCTTTGGTGAATTTTAAGGGGAGTGTTTTCTATAAAATTTTTATCTAGGACGCTTCGTTAAAAAGATACAGGATGTTAAGCAAAAAAATATTTTGAATTTTTTTATAAATAATTTAAAAATTTGTTAGTGAAATAATTGTCCAAAATCTGGGGCCTTTTTCTAAAATTTAGATGTTCCAGTGGCGGAGATATAGGGTGTCGGTGGCATATTTTTCTAAATAAAATAGTACGCCACTGCTTTACGGTGACAATCATATTTTTGGAATCGTCTTTCAATTTTCTACAAATTACCACTCTCTTATGTGTTTCGAAGATAGCCTGATTTTCGAGTAAAACTTAAAAAACCAACTGAAAACACTTTTACATAAATAACACTATAAACACTAATCATTCGGTTATTTAACCGAATAAAGAAATTAATAACATTAGTCATAATTTTAATGATTTTATTTGAGTAAATGCTCAAAAATACCTCTATTTCCACGAACACAGGCGCGACATCTTTTTAGTAACGAAAATGTAATTTGTTCGAAATTTATTGCTGCTTGAATCTGATGAAAAGCATTATTTATTCTTTCTTCTAACTGCTCAGGTGTATTCATTTGTTCACTGTATACCAGCCGTGTAACAGCACCCCATAAAAAGAAATCCAGAGGGTTGAGGTCCGGTGTTTTCAATTATTATTTTAAGTTTTCCTCGAAAATCAGACTTTTTTCGAAAAACATAAGAGAGTAGTAATTTGTAGAAGATTGAAAGACGAATCCGAAAATATCAATATTGTTACCGTAAAACAGTGTCGTACTATTTTATTTAAAAAAATTTACCACCGATACTCTGTATCTCCGCCATTGAAGCATCTAAATATTAGGAAAAGGTCTCAGATTTTGGACAATGTTTACATAAATACCTGTACCCAATTTTAAATTATTTCACTTACTAGTATTTAAATTATTAAAAAAAATCCTAGATAAAAACTTTATAGAAAAGACCCCTTAAATAAAATTTACCAAAGAATGCGAGGATTCATTTTTGGTCACTGTTTGTGAATCACCCTGTATATGATTACTTATGATGGTTCCGTTTAATTTTCTATTGTAAAGTAACTAGCTTTTACTAACGCTAATCAAAATAATTAAATGTAATATAATAATTCTAATAAATGGAATTCTAATGAATGGAAATCTTTTTTATTTACCAGTATGTTTCAACAGCAGATTTAATTACTTAAATGTATTTTTTTGCAACTAACATTATTTGTAATAACCTATGTAGGTACCTATCTTAAAGTAAACAGGTATGTCATGTACTACTGACATTAATATCTGCACAAATTACTTTTTGTAGCAAATGCTGTATGTTTGCTACAAATTACCGTTCTGTATATTTGTTTATATAATTCGTTCAATTACATTTCAGTGTGCAGTTAAACCATTATTAAAAAAAATATTCTTATAGGGTATTAAGTTGTGTAGTTTAGAGTAAGACGTATTAATAAAGCATGTCTCTTTATCTTTCTGTAACTATTATCGACGTATAAAAATATCAATATGGTTAGTCAAACCGTTATTATTTATTTATAGAACGTGTTACAAAGAAAGTTTAATTTGTATTAGTGTGCCAAATTGTTAGAATTGTTGTCAGTTACAGAAACGAAACAGGATAGCTGTTTATGGAATTATGCCATTTATAATTCAAATTGACATAATGAGAAATATTTATATTCTATCAAAGAATTTTCTAAAGTAAATAACAGATTTTGCGATTTTTTTGACGTTATTCTGAGAAGTTTTCAAATTTCGAGGGTACTGCCAACTGTTATTGAGGTAAATAACACAAACAGCCTTCGGTTAAAGATGCCATCAACATTTCCACTTTTTTTAGTTTGATATCGTATACTTTCTCTTGTGTTCTGAATGTCTCTTTTACTGCTATATGACTCGTCCAGAACTTAAATACAGGGTGATATATTTTCTTCACTTTAATACTTAGGTATTCAGAACAATAACCGTTCAAGATATTGAGATCATTTTTTTAATTATAAATTCAATTGCTAAAAAAGTATATATAACTTTCTGAAAAAGATCCAGTTAGGTTTATTTTTTCTATCTAATCAAATCTGTTTATAACTAAAAACTGGAATAAAATAAAAGAGAACGCAATTTTGTCTACTCTCGAAAACTTTTTATTAGTGTTACAGATTTGTCATTGACAGTAATAGTAATTAAATTTTTTTATACAAAGTGTTAATGATACAATCGAACAAACTTTAATGGTCGATTCTAAGGGGCAAATCAATAAAAGAAGTGCCTATAGACATGTGTCTAGAAATGTTTGAATTTAAAGATACAGGGTGGTAAGATTTAAACAAATATCACACTTAAATATTCCTTAAGATGTTGGTATACAAATTTGTTAACCAGTGGCGGAGATATTGGTAAACATCGTCATTAAGAATCCTAGAATGTCAATGCAAAGAAAAAATATATCTATAATTTTATTTGGAGAAAAAACGAGTGATTTCTCAGTTTCAATTTTTTTATTATAAATCTATGGCATACTTGAATAAATCGAAAATAAGTCCAATATTAGTAGTGTGACAAAAAATATGGGAGTTTTAATATAATTTTAAATACAATGTAATTATGAAAGTCCAAAAAAGTCACTGGTGTAGGAATTTTTAGTTTTATGTGGGATGGTAATCCTCTAAAAAATTAAAAATGACTTCATGAAAGATTACACAGCCCCACAAAAAAAAAGGATCGGATCTGGTATTCAGACCCATGTATTTCCGAGTATTTTTTCCGCTGAATCCGAATCTGCCTTCAGATTTGGCCCAACGGGTCTGAATTTTCTGGAAAATTAAAAAAAAACAGGTCAAAATTCACAAAAAAACGTCATTTACGATCGACGAAAGTTATAAAAAATCAAATTATTCTACCAGCTCACTAGACGTATGATTTGTCACTCGTTTAATTCCAATTTATCATCATAGACTCAGACAAGCTAGTCCAATTTAATTCAAAAACAGAAAATAGATCAAAATGCGTTTTCATGACATAATTCGTGTTGCAGAGTTATGGATTCATTTTTTTATCCACCCACCCATTTATGAATTCATACATCTTTCTATCCAGTCGTTCAGGTATGAATACGCATATTTATTCATCCACCTGTACCACCTATAAAACCCACCCATCCACCCATCTATTCATCTACTTTTTATGCTGAGAGATGAGATAACAGGGTGGATAAAAAGATGGATGCAGAACTCTGCAACACGAATTATGCCATGAAAATGACGTTTTAAGCATTTTGATCTATTTTCTGTTTTTGAATTAAATTGGACCAGCTTGTCTGAGTCTATGATGATAAATTGGGATTAAATTAGTGAAAAATCATACGTCTAGTGAGCTGGTAGAATAATTTGATTTTCTATAACTTTCGTCGATCGTAAATGACGTTTTTTGTGAATTTTGACCTGTTTTTTGAATTTTTCCGAAAACACAGACCCGTTGGGCCAAATCTGAAGGCAGATTCCCGATTCAGCGGAAAAAACTACATGGAAAAATACATAGGTCTGAATACCAGATCCGATCCTTTTTTTTTTGTGAAGCTGTGCTTTTATTAGATTTTTTTATTATTTATTTATTATAAGATTGGAAGATTGTGTTTCTAACAAAAAATCCCTATATTTTTTTTTATGAGACGAACATTTTTCTAGTTATTTTCTATTTATTCCATTGGGTCGCAGGTTTATTTTAAATAAAAATAAAAATAAAAAATGGCTTATTTTTCGAATAAAATGGACCAACCGATATTAATATTCAGTGGCGTCGAAATTCTAG